GAAAGACTGGTTGTATTATAACCTTCCAGGGCAGAGCCAGAAGCCTGGGGGGGGACTTTTTCCCTCTTTTCAAAGCAAAAGTAGGAATTTAAACACTGATGGCACAGTGGGAGTGTGTTAGAAAGTAAAAGTGTGAAGCTTGTGTTATCGGAAAGAAACAGTTAAAAATATTCGATGTGTGTGTGTTGGGGTGTGGGTTAAATTAGACGGCAGAGAAAGGTTTTGATGGCTTTGAGTTATCTTCCCAGGCCGTCATATCCTAGACTGGCTCCTCATTAGGTGCATGTGTGTAATGCTTAGTGTGTGCATGATACGGTCCTTACAGGCTTTGATATGGTTTGGACTTATATGAAGAAGAAACCATTCTTTTAAGGTAAGGTGGAGGGTCTCACCTTAAGAAAGAGTTCATGAAGTCAACCACCATGGTCCTGCCAGCACCAGGGCATGCATGTCTCCGTGACTGAAACCTGCTTCTCTTCACTAGCGCCTCTTGGTTGGTTAGCAAAGCCTGCGTGGAAACAGCCTCAGACCTTATGTCTCTTCCCAGGCAACCAGTGGCTGTTGTGTTTTCCTCCAAGATGGGCTGCACGACAGGTCTAGTTAGGATTCTGGGTAGGTAATTACTGAGTTTGGTCAACTCATGTAGCTGTGGTGTTTCATAGAGATGGGATTCCAAGATACCTGAGTTCCATTTTTGATTTCCTAATTTACTGTCTGTCTCTACGGTTTAAGACAATCATTTGAAACAGCCCATAACTGTTAAAATAGAGCACCGTGAACAGTTGAACTATAATATGCTTACAGTGGAAATATCTTTCTTTCTTTGTATTTTCTAATTTTTCTACAACAAACATAGTTTACTTGTATAATACAAGATATCAGCAACAACAAAAACTGGAAGGAAAAACAAGCAAAAATGTTTCCTAACTGATATCTTTTCCTTCGTCTGTAGTCAAAATGTGGTGCAAGTGGTGACCAGAACCCCAGGATCCAAAGTGGCCTCATCTGAGGCCCAGTGATCCACTTCAATGCTGCGTTAGTTAAAGAGTTTAGTCGGTCTGGATGTCAGTCAGTCTTACTGCATCTTCCTCTATGAGAACCTTTATTAGTAGCATAAGTGTGTCTAAGCAGACCTCACATCTCAGATAAGAGTGCAAGATTTGGAAATGAGGACGGTAATATCTATATATGGTAGGAATCTAAGAAAAGCCAATCTCTTTTCTGCTTTTATCCAGCATTTTAGTAAGAGCATCTGCAAAGAACATCAGTATTACAGTTCACCCTGAATGCTGTTATTGCATATAGGCCCCTGGCTCTTTGACTGAAGTTCAGTTTTTGGAAATACTCCGGTTCTGGATCCTTGTGGTTATTACACTGGCTCTCCTACCATTGCATATGTGCCAATAGCCTAACACCTGGGAAACATCCCGACTTTCAGAGATGATGCCCAAATGACCTCGACAATGAAGGCCCTTAACACAGACAGAGGCTGCCATGCGGATACCAGGCTTCAGTGGTGCAGATAAAGCAATGGGAAGAGTGTAACTTGTTCCTAAGTGACATCTCAGCAGGTCCGGTAAAGCTAGAAGCCCTAACCATTAAGAGCACAACTAAAATTCTTCAAAGTGGCATGAGAGTTTCCGAGAAAGTTCTGGAGTGGACCTGCCAGTCTAGGTCCCAGGTCAGCTTCCTGTTTCTACACACATTGCATGTTCTTCGCTTGCTGATGGGATTAGTCAAATAACCCATAGGATTCACTGACTTTCTCTTTCACTTTTCAACTGATTTCAACTCATTTGCCTTTGGAATGATTGGAACTCTCTTTGTATTCTTATCTGGAGCCCCTAACTCCCAGTGATAATGAAAATAACAACATGTAGGGGCAAGTCCAATGTCCCTTTATGTATCTTTTACTAGTTCTGCCAAGCACTGATCATTCGGGCTATGTTCACCTAAACCATAGTGGACTTGGTAATTAGATAATTGGAATTTATCATCAACAACAGTCATACTTTCCTGAACTGTACCATACATCAGACACTGTACTTTACACTGGTGATGCAAAGGTGTGTGTGTGGGGGGGGTCAGACACCATTTCCCTGGGGTTCACTGGGTAGCCACCGTGGTGAATATTCTAATTTCTAATATATTCAAATGCCAGCTCTACTCATGAACTATGAGGTCATGGTCAAGCCTATTAATTTTTATGATTCTAGGTTCTCATCTATAAAATAGAAATTATCACACTTCCAAGGGCTTATATTAGGAGCAAATGAAAATGTACATGAAAGAGCTTTGAAAACCATATAAATATGAGAATATATTGCAAAACTACACTTATCTGTAAGCCAAGTCCATAGGTTATTCCAGGATCTCTGGCAGTGATTTTTTAATATGTTAGTGTTGCCTGGTAAATATGCAAACTTGATAAATGCTGCAATGAAGGCAGCACAATGCCTAGTGCATAGAAGGAGTCCAACAGCTTTTTGTGGAATTGAACAGAATTGAGTCTTAAAGACTGAGTAGAAATTGGATAGGCCAATGGTGCAGTGGGCAGACGTTATGAGCAGAAGGTACAGCACCAAAAGTGCTTTGGGCATTGGAGAAATTTTAGGAAGTTTGGTGAGGCCAATACACAACTGTGTGCACTAGGAATTGACGAGAGATGGGGCTGAAGGAGCAAACAAGGGCGAAGTCATGAAAGACATTGTATGCTATGCTGGAGTTTGTTTTTCATTCTGAAGGCAATGGTTTAAACATCGGAAAGATTTTAAGTAAAGAGAGCGATGTTTGTATGGGCCTTTTAGAATGAATTCTCTGGTGGCGAGTATGTGATGGATAGAGAGACCAGGAGGAGCCTATCATGGTGGTCCAGGGGAGGGGTGGGCGGGTTTGAAGTAAGTAGTGGCAGCGGGGCATGGAGACCAAGAGACAGAGTCAAAAGGAGTTCACGAGGCACAACTGGTAGGACTTCCGGTGACTTGGTGAGTGTGTGTGTACAGGGAGCGGGACGACTCCCAGACGTCTGCTTTGGGTGGCTGATGGATGGAGCCATTAACAAGGACAAAACAAACAGAAGGAGAAAGTCCATCAAGAAGAGGGTAAATTACATCTATAATCTGCCTTAAGAAAACACAGAAATGTGTCATATGTTTCAGATAGATTTTCATCAGTATTCTGAAAACCTACTTGGGTGCCATATTCTTCCCTGGACCACGGCTTTCCTCATGGTCCAGCAGATAAGCCAAATACGTCAGAAGGACTATTTGCTTGGACTCCTCCGAAGACGGAACAATGGATGAGGAGCCCAGACTGTGTGTTAGTGAGGAGCTGGTTTCATCTGCTTTGTGACAGACTGCTCCTGACTCTTTCCAACCATGGATTTTTGCTTAAACTCATCAGCCATTGCCCCGCTGCACTTGCCATTGAATAGATTATGTGTATATGGTTGGTTTAGTGGAAAATTCTTATTGGAACAGCTTTTGGAATCATTTAAAACAGATACTGGTGGTTGTCTTGTAAGCCTAGGCTATTTCTAGCCATTCATTTGCTGTTTCAAAGTCGGCCTCAGAACTGCTTTTCATGATTTCATTTCTGAAATTTATTTTATTTGTGAAATATTGTAGTATGAGAAACGTGGAATGACCTTAACTTCTGGAGAAATAATACTGGCTTTTGCACAATGAATGTGAGTTTCTTGAGGGCAAGGATTCATTTTGTTTATTTCCGAGTCCCCAGCACATAAAAGTTTCTGGCGTGTGGGAAATGCTTAGCATATATCTGTGGACTATGGAGTGATTGAATTTAAATGATGGCTATCTTTTTAAAGAAGACATTTTAGAATTTCCTAAGTAAAATGTAGTTCATAATAATAGGTACAATCATAAGCAGGACCTTTGCCAGAATATTTTTAGAGTATTTTAGATGGAAAGAAAGCTCGAAAATGACTTTCTTTTGTCTTCTCCACCCATGAGGGCAGAAGCATCAGCATTTTTTTTGCTCCTCTTAAAGTCATTCTTGGAACTTCCTGGCCACTTTCCTTGCCCTTTTACAATGTATGGGCACTCAGATTTTTGGTTCTGTTGCTTGCTCCAAATCACTTATCAACCACAACACAACGTTGATATACGGCTCTCCATGTAGCATAAGAAATGTTTGCTAAAGGTCACTAAAAGTGTGCAGATTGTGATCTAATTTTTAAAAAAATTTTACTGTTTTTTTTAGCAAGGTGTTCTTGTCTTCCTTTTGAATTAGTAAATTCTATAACAGCATTAACTCACCCCTCCTACTCACACTAAACTTCAAGCAGGAGCATATTTTAAATGCCTAAATTTTCCAGAACATGCCATGACAGGCATTGTTTAAGAGCTGCAAAACCTCTTTCCCAGCAGAATTCTCTAGAACCCTTGGGCACAGCTGGTGTTAGTAGTAGACTGTGGTGGCTCTGGGTTTTGTCTGCCTACCATGGTTTCTCATCTTCTGTCTTCTGGTTCTTATGGAGACTTCCTCCTTCATCCTTGTGGTCCTGTGGGATTATCATGAGGCCCTACCCCTCCCCCCACAGACAAGGGTGGCCCTGTGACCCTGAGTGGCCCACTCAAGGTACATCATCCCCCAATACAGTGCCTAGTCTAGAGACAGGCACATGACTCAACGTCTGCGGTCTCTGTCGGAGAAGGAAGCCAAGCAGGACAGGCTGATGACATTCTTGGAACCACAGTATCCAGCTGTGCTTGAGGTCCACAAAAGGACTTCCCAGCTAAGTCAAACAGCAGAGTCTCTTTGTTTAAGTGAGTTTGAGTTGGATTTCTGTAACTTCCAACCACAGGAGTCCTAATTCATATAGTATTTCGATTGAAAGTTGAAATAATCATGATGTTAATCAGTCTGTCTTGAACCCCTTCCTTTTCTTAACTTTAGGGATTGTAACATATGCTATTTACATGCTTCCAATTTAAATGACGTACCTGAGTTGAAGACACGCTTAGCCTAGAAGCTCATGTCAAACAATTCTTTATTTTTTATGGTATAAATTAAAAGTGACAGATCCGAAGCTGTTAAGAAATACACAAAGTGCAGCTTTACTGACCATACAGATATTGCTCTAGATTAAGTACAGTTTTGTCAGTTTTTTTTTTTTTTTAACGTTAAGCAAACTGTGCAGATAAATCAGCTTTGGTTTCAATGTCAGAGCAAGTAAGGAGCTTTTAAATATCCAGTTTGGCTTCTTGGTCACAAGTCCATCATGTCAACTTCTCGTCATGATGAGTTTTTCGAAACAACCCAGTCCGTTTTCCTGCCCTCCTTCCTGCTGCCCACTCTGAGCACAGAGCAGCAGCTTTTTGCGGGGCCTCATCAGTGACCCTGGTGACCAGTCGAGATCACAGCACGTAGGATAAAAAAAAAACCACTTTCTTAACAACAAATCAACAAATGTGCCTCACATAATTTCAAGTTGAAGACGAGCAAATTACATGACAAAAAGCTTATTACAAAATGTTATCCAAACAGATTTTACAGTCAAACATTGAAATGAAAATCAATTTCCTTTTTCTCCATTTTTTTAAGCTTGGTCATTAACTGGGTACAAGTAGAGTGCTGAGGTAAAACACTGATGAACAGTTTGTATTTCCTTTTTTTTTTTTTCTTAAAATAGGAACAGTGTAGTATTGCGAGATTGTCAGCAACATTTAGCCATATCTATACAATGTGCATATACCTACAAACATTGAGCTTTGGTCCAGCGTAGAGAAGATGAGCAAAGGCATTTTACAATTTCTTTTTGGTTATAGCTTGAGTTCTTTGATACGCCTCTACTTGGTTTTTTTTTTCCTAGCTCCTTTTGCTTTTTTGTTCTCTCTTTTGTGGTATGTGAGAGTGTGTGTTTGTGTGTATGTGTATGTGTATTCGTGTGATGACAACATAAAGAAACTAAACTCTGGCAATGCAATTAAAACTCTCAACGGTTCAAAATTAGTTTGGGTTGAAAAAGGGAAAAAAAACCCACAAACGGGTGTAAAATATAACATCAGTCATTTTTCTTTTTCATCAATGAAGAAAATGAAGATGACAATAATTTACAAACATGTAAAAAAAATAGTGAAGCTTGAAATACAATCACGTATGCCCAAAGTGGCTTTTATTTTTTGTTTGTGGCAGCCTTAACCTTCAGTTCACAGAAACATAAAAGACACTTAAATACTATTGGCATGTGAAGTTGTTCACAAGTGGAAATAAGAAATGTCATAACAAAATCAAGCAATAGTTGTGGTCCCGAAGACTTACGAGTTACATAGTATAATTTATATTCCTAAGAATCTGTTCAGGCACCTTTTTTATGCCTTGTAGCAAAAAATTTATCTGTAAAAAATTAATATAAGAAGCATTACAACACCTTATAAATAATTTATAAAACAATACAAAATTATAAAACTATAAAAAAAATCACTGCACATGAATGATTTTACGACTGTGGGATGAATATCTTTCTTTTATTCCACTCAGGAAGATTCCTTTTATTTTGCATTTTCACTGTCCTAGTTACACCTTCCCAATTATAGATCTCCGAACGGAGCAGGCCTTATGTAACTGCTGTTGGCATATGTTTAAACATTTAGCATCCATCATATGTTATCTTGTTAACTTCTCTTCTTGGGGAGCTTTTCTTGATGGAATTTGGAGCAGGTCCCAGGAGAACAGAAAATCCGTTTAATCAATATAGTCTTGGGTTTCTGGGTTGTTGGTCTTTGTGCAGTTTTTGAGGTGGCAAAATGAGTACCACGACGTCCTTGGCATTGAAGGTCAAATTAGCTGTGGTCCAATTAGCATCAGACTTCAAAATGGAAACACCTTTACAAGCGACTGGTTCCACTTCCAGGATTTCTTTTAGAGTTTCCTTGCTGGTGGTCTCCTCATTGCTGCAGGAATCATCTGGAAGGTGGGAACAAGCATCCCCTTGCACTGACACAACCAGCAAAGAGGCCGACAGAGGAAGAAACCCAAACCCCCATGGCGGAGGGAGTGTGTTAGCAGAAGAAGATGGTGTTTCCAATCAGTTGGGCAACTTGAGGTTTTTTTCTTCCACAATTTACTTCTAGATGGTACATGAGCATGATTATTAATTAATTATTCAGGAATATTTACATTTCGACAGCAGGCAAATGGACGGTTCTCTTTGCCTGTTCCTTTAATTGAGCCCCTTTGCCTGTACCTGGGGGAAGCATCCACCACAGGTGTCAAGTGCTCACCTGCACAGCCATTCTCCATCTTGGCTTTTCTTTCTGGCTTATTAGGCTATTTTGGCCCACAGATCTTCTAAGTGGGTTACTTTGAAAAACGAAATAACCCCCTAGCTCTGATAGTGAAGGCTATTGTGATGTGTTAGATACGCCACTTCTAGATTTTTCCTTCTAATGGAGGCACTTCATTGTTAAAACTTCCTTTTCCCTCCAGAACCCAGCCCCCTATTCCAACTGTTTAAATTTATCTGCCAACTTTCTGCTCCATTTCTATGTCCCAAGAACAATTGTTCCCCCCTGAAAAAGGTCTGCTATTGGAATGAAAGCAGTAGCAGAAAAGATTTACAGGACACATGATGGCCTTGAACGCTCCTGTCGCTACCCCTTTCCTTTTGGTCTGTTCTCTTCGTGTGTGTGTGTGTATATGAGTGTGTGCATGCTATGTGTGTCTTTTGACTGAAATCTTGAGACATTTCTTTGGCTATCAGACTTCTGAGAGAAATTGCTTTGCACAGAAGCATAACATAGATGTAAGTATCGAACCAAATGTGCAGCTTATGTTTATATTACAAAATTAGTTTTGGTCAGCTCTCCATGTACGTGGCCAACAGACTGAGAAAAATCCCATGATCTGGCGTGGACAGTGAGCACAATTACAGCTTATGCCAGTGTTGACAGATCATCGAGCAAAGCCCTAGTTATTTTGGAGTCTCTCCTACATTTCACTGGGATGTGAGTGGAAAACACGCCCGTTCCCACTCCGTGGCCTTCCTGCAGACCCCGGAGGCCACGCACGAGGGAGACGGAAAAAACGGAGGAAAAAAAGAGAAATGCGAGCTCCGTTTTCTTTTCTCAAACCCACAAGTCATAGTGAGAAGAAAGCAATGAACGCTTTGGCACACAGATCCAGGATGCCCCCCCTCAAAACAAAGAAAAAAAATAAGAACCCTGTCACCCCAAATAAAAACCAACAGTGAGCCTCATAGAATGGCTTCAACAATGGCGGCCACCCCACAGGTGGTGACAATAGATGGGGAAAGACGGGAGAAATCAGGCTTCCTATGATTTCGTTAAGTACAAACGTAAAAATCTGTAACACAACTTTACACGCAGAGTAGACTAACGGTGGTGTTTGCAATGCCATGTTTCTGACTTTGGTTAATACGTTTCATAGTGAATTAGCACTTAGAACCTGAAAAAATGCGGTCCCTCCTCCAGGTGGCAGGCTTGTATTTGCTTTGATCAGATCAAAGTTTTTGTGTTGTTGTCGATTGTTCTTTTTGGTTTAGTTGTTTTTCTTTTCCCTTAAAATGTGTTCACATTTTCATAATACACAGAAAAAAGTATGTGGTTATTTGGTTTGCTTTCAGTCCCTTAAAAAACTGGCTTTGGGGAGACAGGTGGCGGAGGCTACTATTCTTAGCACACGCCTGCAGGGTGTGTATTCTGTGTTTAAAAATTTTCAAAAAATTTTTTTTTTCTTTTTGGAAAACCAACGGACACGTATAAACCACCCTGTCCACTTGGTTGTTTTCTTAGTCTTTTTCTTACAAGGGTGATGACTGGGGCTGTTTGTAAATTTTACTTTAAATTTAATTTTTTTTTTTCTTTTTCTGGTGGAGTCCCGGGCCAGAGTTGAGTTTCTGCGGATTTTCGCTTTTGCTTCTGGGTGGGCATCTCTTTAGGAGTTTTCTTCCAGAGAGTCTGTTAAGGGCTCCAGAGGGACCGCCGTGGCTGGCTCGTGCTGTTTTAAGCGTTTAATTGTGTTCTTCAGGGCTTGCCTCTTATTGCAGAACCAAACTCTAACTACCTCCCGGTCATAGTTCAGCTTCTCGGCAATTTCGGTCATTTCCTGCCCAGAGGGGTGTGTGTTCTTCTCAAAGTGGGCATTGAGGATCTCAAGGGCCTGGGGGGTGAAAGACGTGCGCCGTTTGCGCTTTTTGGACGGTTCGCTCCCGATAAACTCGGTCAGGTTCTGCATGCCTGCTCGATGGCGGGCCTCAGCCTCAGCCATCCACCGCTCAAGCACCGGCTTGATCTTCTGGGCACTTTTAGGGGTGATGTCCAGCTTTTCAAACCTGGCAGGATACAAAAGGCCAGGGTTCAGTTTGGCTGTCAGACTGCTAGCTATAGTGTTCTCTTGGGCTTCCTGTGGTAGGAAAAAGTGGCTTCTCAGGATGGTGTGTCTGGGGGGAAAATTGAGAAAGAACAGTCTTACACTGAGTCCTCTGCCAGGGTGGGCCTCCTGCCTGCCTGCCTGACTGACTGGCAGAGCGAATTCACTCCAGATTAACAGCCAGCTGCAAGGTAGCCACCCGCACAAGCCAGCGCCCACCGTCCCCGCATGCTCCATGCCCCTGCATGCAGCCCGAGCACCCACTCACGCCCACCCACACACACAAGGAAAGAGGGAGGCAGCAGGACACACGAGCCGTCACGATGGCAACAAAAACAACTCGCAGATCTTTTTCCCGTAAACTCTTGAGATCTAAGCTTTTATTTTAATCAGACCGGCACCATTTCCCCAATGTTCAGAATCCTTAAGGCAGAAATTAACACCAGAAAGTGACATCAAAGACAACAGCTGTCATGTTCTTCCACTTAAAGTGATTCTTTTTTATGCTTTACATTTGTTTTTCCCTTAAATTCCTCCCATTGACTTGGTTAGGAAAATGTTACATCTATTATCATAGGCGGGGATGGCAACTGGGACAAATTTCTTTTACGGCTCTCCTTTCATCTCTGTTTTGTGTCTCCTTTTAATTTCTCTTCCTCTCTTTCTATTTCTCTCCCTCTCTCTCTCTTTTCTCTCTCTCTCTTTCTCTTTCTCTCTCTGGTAACAAACAATTTTCACCATATGTCAGTTAACAACATGCCCTCTTTTCAGGTAAAACATAGCCCATTGCTAGTTTACTGTTGGACTCAAACAGCTGGACTCATTGTAATTACTGTGAACACCCCTCTCCTCGGATGTGCTACGGCCACCTCATGCCTTCCAAACGCCGTCCAGTGTAATGGTGTATTTTTGCACCAGGGCATCAAGCTGTGTTTAATGTGTGATATCTGCAAACTGTACTTGAATGATATCATTTTCTGTAAATGAGGTCTTCTAGATATCAATTGCCATCAGCAATTCTTTGCTACTCTGACTTAAAAAAATATGAAGCATCTTGGACAAAATTATATAGAATGTTTTAAGAGGTCATCCTGGTACGAAATTCAGACTTACTCTCAGTGAAATACAGAAAGGTACCAATTCCTTTTATTCGTTTGTTTGTTTATGCTAAATCCAAATTCACAACCCTCCAGCATGGCGACTTTGGACGCAGGGAATTTTCCCCTCTCTTTTAAAGTTCAGCGCTGTTGAAAAACAGCCATCTGTCTGCGCAGTGCCCCTTGTTACAACGGTCTGTTCTCATAGAGCCAAAATGAACCTGCTTCAGTTAGAATATGTTTTATAAGGATTCTTGCAAAAGGACACAAAAGTCTAGGCTTTGTTTCTGTGGCACAATCTTATTTTTGGCACTGCATTTTAGATACCTTCTGTTGTGATGCACAGTGCAAATAGTGTCAAATTTTGATGTGATTCCCATGGCGTTCCCTCCCATGTGTAGTTCAAGGAGTTGTTTATTTTCTAAAAACCCAATTTCTAGTACTGCTCAAAGAGGGAAGAAGCACCTTTTGCTTTTAATACAAAATAAACTAATCATTTAATGTCATTTAAGGAGCTTGGCACTTGTGCCAAGCTCCCTCGAAGCTCTCTCATTGTCATGTTAATTTGCCACACACCACATTTTGCCATCATTCACCATAAAAGCCCCAAAGCTGAAACTCTTGATGGCATGACAGCAGGCTTTACAGTGCCATGGCATGGGGGGGTGAGAGGGGCGGTGCACCAAGCTGGTGATGGGGTGTCCAGCGTGTTGGCGGTGCGTTTCCTCTGTGTCTCTGATAAGGAGGGACTGGTCAAATGCAGAATCCTTCCTGCCCTTTAAATTAATTTGAATTGCTCTGATGTCAGGTCTCGGTCTCTTTCAAGACTTTCATTCTGTTTCTTGGTAGTTAGCTCCTAAACCTATCTCATGGAAACCCTAGAAGCCAGAGAAAGACCAAAAAGTCAAGGCATCTGATGTGTTCTATTATATGGAGAATTCCCGAGGTTTCTTTTCATTTCAGCCATAGCTTTTTTGGCTTTGCCTGGGGGAGACTTTAGAAATCAACATATTTGATTGGGAATGCCCAAGAAGCAGTGAGTGTATTAGCAAAAACATTAGATGGCACTTAAACCAGTAAAAGGAAATCACATATTAGGACTAAAAATAAGCCAAAGAGGACTTTAGCCACAACAACAAATTGACACCAACTTAAAAACCTGTGGCTGCCTTTATCACGAGGCTGTCGAGATGAAACAAAATTAACGTTCCCCTACAGGGAGCCGCCGTATTCACATCATTGATGCTGCTGGTTAGTGTTGATGCTTCTGTACATGTTGTTTGGAATATACAAGCCCTGAAACAAATTTCTCAGCAGTAGTATCCTTGTGTAGACTGAATAAAGGTTATTTTCTACAGGGAGGTATCTTATAAGAAAAAACAGTAGGGGAGGCCATAGAAGTGAGAGGATCCTATGGCGCTTTTTGTATTTAGCAACAATCAATGGGTTTTATGGAAAATCATTGAGCAAAATGTGAGCTGCAAGCTACTACCCCATACTGATGTTATTTATAACCTTAGTCTTAAACTGCGGGAAAAGTACACTTCCGTCCTTTGGGGAATACATTAAAAGTATAAAGAGCAGATAAAAAGACAGCATTTCATGGATCACCAAGAACAAAAATCCACTTAAATGAGTTTAGAGTTGGTTTCTTGGCTTTTCCTGATGGAGGAGGACTCATAAGGCAGTGCCCAAGAGGAAAAAGCTGTTCCCGAAGTGCCTTTGTTACCTCATGCATAAACATAGGATTAGTGCAACACACACATGCATGCGCGGGGTCGGCTGCTGGCGGCTTGACCCAGATCAACTGGAACACAACCAAGGCTGGATTCTGTCATTTATTTATTTAATTTGGGGGGTGAGGGCGGGGGCAAGGTTAGGCCAGATTCTCACTACTCTCTTCTGAGCCATGTAAAAGCAGTTGTTTCTTGCAAGTTAAAACATTCCTTTGAGGTCACAAGATGTCTAATTATCTTTTTAAGGCGTGTTTTCTTGGAAAATCCTGTAGCCATCCCTGGGTAGAAATGGTGGCAGCGTTAATACCAACTGGGACTGGCAGCTTTACAGGTTTTGCTCAGGATCCCAATTTGTAGACAGGAGACAGTGGCTCTAAGCTGCCTAGGAGGGCGGGTCCAGAAGGAAGTCTCTGGCCTAGGGTGGTGTTATTTCCAATGAGACCGCCTTGGAAGTTCTCTGTGAGTTGACAGGAGTTATCAAGCCAGCCCCCAAATCTGCTTGAGTACCTTTATTTCCATCAATATCACCAATTTCCACAGATAGCTACCCCAAACTTTGTTCCCGCACTCTGCGCCTCCAGCTTTGCCCACCCAGAGAAGAAAGCTGAGCCTCGAGGACAAACAAGGCCCAGGCCGGCCAGGAGAGGTGACAGCATGTTACCTGCAGATGGCTGACTGGCTGTACGCGGGGCCCTCTGTAGCACTGAGAGCCTGTCCCACCTGAGTCTGCGTCAGGCCAAGGGACAGGCGCCGGATTTTAAAAGCTTTGGCAAATTCTCGGATCTCCTCCAGATTAACCCCATCCACCTCACCCGCTGCCGTTTGAGGATCTGTGGAGATGTTTTTAAAAATAGGATCAATACGTCAACACACATCTGAGTAATATCTGCTTACCACCATTTATAAGAAAGCGGCTCTTTTTAATAGCAGAGCGGTGGGGAAACAACATTGCGGAAGGTTCTCTTTGTCTCCTAGCAGAGGCACCCAAGCCCCCATTCTCAACTTATTACACCTCCACAAATCATTCTTCAAGATATTTCTATCCCACATAAAACCACATGTAGCTCACACTGCCATTTCCACAGTACAAGAGCATGTTCCTTAGGGCTTAGCAAATAACAGCCCATGCGCGAGGCCTCCTGCTATGGGGCATGCAACTCCATTTTGCCCATCAGCATTTTCAAACATTGTGCAAAAATACAAAAATGGAAAGCTTTTGATTTGAAATGTCTTAATTGGACTCTTTAGTGCTGAAAACTGCCCTTGAAGAAAACAGTATTTTGTGTTTTTCTTTTATCCGCTCAGCAATGCGGCAGGGCTAACAGATGTAATGTTGCCTAATTTCTTAGGTGCACATTCGTCCCTCAGAAGAGCGTGCTTATGAAGTGGTGGGAATAATATTGTCTTTTTTTCCCCTTGATAGCAGTTTACTGACACAGATGCCTTTGTCCCCGGAAAGGGCACATCATAAAAAATGCCTACCGCAGGAAAGCTCCTTTGGTGCTGGATAACGCGGTCAATTTAGGACTTATCAAGGGAAATGACACAACAGCTGGAGAATGAAACTCCCCCCCCCGTTTGGCTACTGATCCCTGGCTAAATGAAAGCTACACCAAGCAGGAGACAGCATGGGTTGGGGATGGTGGAAGATTTCAAAGTGCTGCTCGATCCTGCCTGGAGCGAAGCCATTCTCCCCTCGAGCTGACTCTATTGTTCTTTACCTCACTCCTGACTTAGGGGAAAAGTTTTCTCTTCCTCTTTCTGCACAATGACCCATCAATTTCAGTAAATTCAAGGACTTGTCTAAGGACTGTGGTGGACTGTATTACTCTTCTGGGCTCAGGGCTAGAGAAACTCCTGTAATCATGAAAAGAAAGAAACGTTCGCATCCCAACAGCCAATCTTTTAAGGACTTTTAAATAAAGATGTTAACATCTGTGGGGTCTTGGAGCTTCATGTATAGATTCTCTCATTATGGGAGAAAAGGACTCTGTTAATAGAATCAAGAATACAGGTGTACATTGTACCTTTATCTTCATATTAAAAAAAGGTCTTATGAATTTTTACACGTCAATAGTCAGAATTGTGTTGAGGAAATTTTAAACAGTGGTACAACCACAGCAAGCAGTCTGTAAGTATTTCGTAAGTGAGTCCTGGGAGTCCTAATGAGTGGAGAGAGGGGACAAGAGAAATAGCAGAGGAGTTCCAGCCCCTACGGGGTTAACAGTCTATAAGGGGTTGGGGCCCAATACTGTGAATGAGAAACAGCTACAGGAAAAATACCAAGCAGACTATAATCAAGAAATAATGGTGAGACACCCACACAGGAATTTATGGAGAAGGGAGAGGTGACAGGATTCTTCGGGGTCTTACCCAATGGGCAGCTTGCAGAGAATGGACGGGCCATATTCCGGCCGGTGGGAGCCCAGTGCAGACAGGCACAGATGCAGCGGGGAGTGGAGCACTGTGAGGGCCTGCGAGGGTTTTTGTAGGGTGGGGTGAGGAGTGCGTGCTAGGAGTGGTGACTATTTCGGTGAAGGTCATTGAGAATCTGTGTCCATGGGCGGAGGCAGAGGTTGACTGTCAAACTGGTTTGGCTGTTAAGTTTAATGAAAACCCTGCTTTTTCTCCCCAAATTTCCCCAGATGGCTGGCAACACTGGTTAATTAAAGGCTTGTTTGGGTCATCCCTGGTGGAGGCTGCCTTCCAGATCTGAAATCCCACCAGCACAGCAGCCTGAAGCCACTTGAAGGGTTTGCTAAGGATTCTAGGAGGTCACGTCGTCGCACACAGCGGGCTTGAGCCCCTTCCCACGTTTATTCCTTTAAAACTTTCTAAAGCAGAAGTTGCAAATGAGCAGTTTGAAAGTAAAACTCAGCTTTCCTAGAGCTTACACATTTTTTTGAATTACTCATCAACGTTTCAACACTGGGAGATTTCTACAGAGAAATCTAGATTTTTCATGTTCCTTTGAAATGTTAGAAGATTTGGCTATGCGGCGTCTACATCTGCATTCGGGAACAATCAGTCACTGGGGCTGACTCTGGCTGCCCCTTCAGCTCCCCAGGCCCTCGTCTCCAGCCCTCCTCAGACTTTGCCGAGTCTGTTTTGTGACCCGCATTCAGAGCAGGCATTCCCAAGGGGGCGAAATTGGTTCTGGGATGGTGGGGAAAGGTGTAGCTAGTACAATGTTGTGGTCCCCCAAAGGGCCACAGTACATAACAGTACATAAACAGAACAGATGTACAGTATATCTGTGGTGTTAACATTTCACGGCAGAAGAAGGGCAATTAGAATAAAAAAATCTAAAAACGCACTTTGGTGGGGGTGGAGGAAGGTGGGAGGAGGGCAATGATAAAATAATAGTTGAAACACTCTGGTTTAGAACAGAGAGGGACACCTGGCACAGCGGAAGAGCCCTGGCCTCTCTCCAAGAGAGAGCGAAGAGGCGCTTGGCAGACTGACAAGTGTGGTCAGCGGAGGGTCGAAACTGAGGGTGAAAAAAATGGAAGCCAGAGACATTCCTTGTAAGAATATGGCTTTTAGGATGGTGGTTTTCTTAATTTGACAGGTGTAAGAGTCACCTGGTGGAGCCCAGGGAGGTCCATTTTTAACAAGTACCACAGGCGACTGGGATGCAGGGGCTCCTCTGACCCCACTTCCAGAAGCCTTCCCTATGGCTCTGGCCTGACCGAGGCTGGGCATGGCATCCTCTGCATGACCTGTCTTTTCTCGACCCATTACCACCGTTATCTTCCAAGTTTCACTACACAGAAAGCCTGCTCTACTGCCGGGGTAACACTGACAGGCTAGAAAGGCCCCGTGAGGGCAGGCACCCATCCTTGCCCTTCGACCTCCCCCAGCACCACCATTTATGGCAAGTGGCCAACATGTGGGTGTCAGTGAGCTGGGGTGACCAGTGTCGTTTGCGTTGAGGGGGAGTCTTTCTCTGAGCAAAGCTAAGTAGCCCCTATGGGAAGTAAATTTGTTGCCTTATATTCGCCTCATCTCTAGATCAGGCGGAATCAATTGAGTTTACCAGCCTGGGAGGGGTGGGGCTTTAATCTGGAAGGATTTCCGTGGTCTGCCCCATCCCAGGGTTTGTGCTGCCACCAGATTCCACAGTGCCGTACTGGGCAGGGTTACAACTTGGGTTGCAATTGTATGTAAATCTGTTCTGATTTCTTTCTCCTCCCCAGCTGCCTTTATTGTTTCTGTCCTTACTAGTTCCTTCAGACTGGTAACTAAACCTGTGTGTGTGTGTGTGCAGGTTGCTTTTTGTCAGCTCACTGACAAGAACCAGACCTGACGAGAAAGCTGTGGACTCTTACCCACATGCACTCAGCAGTGTGCTTGTCGAACTTTCGCTCTCAAGCTCAGAAAGGTGGGCGCCTGCCCCCCTGAGCCTCGTGTCTTCTCTGAGGCCCCAAACAAGCCTTCATTACAACCGAGAAGCTGAATTCCTCCTTCCTCATGCATTTCCCACTGTTGTCTTTTTCCCAGTTCTATTTTTAGAGCTGATAAGATAGGAATTCTTGGGAAATTTTAAAGAGGGTGATGGTCTATTGGACAAAGGCCGAGGGAGGGGAAATCAGTGTCTGTTTGTTTGTGCAATTTGTTGATTGCCAGAGATGAGCTGCCCGGCTCTCTTTATATTAGCGTTCTTATCTGTAAAGTCAGATGGCAAAATGTATTAGCACGGTTTTGCTCCATGAGTCCCAAGACTACAGAAGTCTGTCCATCCAAAGAAGGGGCCCACCTGTGGACAAATATTAGTTTTACCCTGATTACAACATGTGGGACTTGCCTTCACGCATTGGGAACATTCATCAGATGGTGTCTGTAAGATATTTTGAATCAAAAAAGATGCTTTTTTTTTTTTTTTTTTTTGATCCTGGAGTTTCTGCCTTAAACTCTTGAGGATTTTTCCCTCTGTTGGCACAGTCCCCTGCCTTAAGGGATGTATGGTTTTCTGGTTGAGGAGGAGAAAGAAGAGGTGAATGTGGTAAGGGGAAGCTTCTCTGCACTGTCACTTAGTTGTCAACGTACCCCAGAGGTTGAATTTCCACCTTGGGATATGTCAATCTGGCTTTCCGCCATCCACTCTCCTGGTTCCAAGGAGGTTGGGTCAATCTCAAGGATGAATCTGAGGCCACCTGGATGGGCACCTCAAAGGAAGCCCACAAAGTCCCCACAGGGTGGATCCAGCACCTTTAATGATCTCTAGGGCAACCCAGTCTGGGGTTTCTCTGCCCTGAGGAGGACGAGGTGCCTTTATAGAAGCACCAGATTAAGTCAGCCCAATATATTAAGTACAGGGTCAGAAAGCAGTAACAATGGCTGCCAGGGGCCATGCTGAGTCTGACCATTGCTAGAGCAGCCAGAAGATGAACCTATGTAGGGATTAACTAACCTGGAGATTTAGACTAAACTGGCATTAAGAATTGGCAGTGACTCCTAAGTGTAAAGATGATGTTTCCCAAATCAAATCTGGAATGCGTGGACTGGGAAGTAAGAGGATTTTTATGGGAGCTGGTTGCGTGGTCACTGGGCCCAGACTGAATTGAGTGCTCAGGACGGATCAGCACAGATGTTTTGTTTTATTTTTAAAATTTAGCTCCTTCCAACTGTTAGTCTGAGTATCAGTGTAAGGGCTTGCTAAATGGCTGGAACAGTCACCATCCATCAACGTCATCCTCCTGAAACCTCTGCTGTGCGATTGTTATGGAAGAAATATGCATCTTCAAAGAAGCTGCCAAGTATGAATTAACTGCCTTATGTAAACATCCATCTGCTTTTTAGTGCTATTCTCACAGCAAATAATGAGCATATTTACCAAATATTTCTGAGAAATAAGAAACCATTTGGAAACATGCAATGCAGTTTGGGACTGACTTGCAATACGGTGACTTCACTGGGTTGTGGAAACTGGTGTGAACTGTGATCATGTGTCGTAAGCCATCACCAGCATCCTTATGTTCACTTTACAGTTTTGGATCTTGCGGTATTAGCCATCAGTCCTTTGCTGTCTAAGAATCAAGTTTACAGGCCAAGGGTTTAAAAAAAGTGTGCTGAAAAACCGAAAACAAAACAAACCCAGCGAACAATAAAAAATCCCCAAACTACCTATTTTTAAACAGTACTGTATAAATCTTAAGTCAAATTAGGACATTTGTCAAGTCATTTGTTTGACTCCTCTAGACTTTCCAGAAGCCCTGATTATAGAAGCTACAGCTTCCTCTGATGACTGTGGAGGCGGAGCAAGGGTTACCCAGAGCAGGCTGTGCAGGTGCTATGAAAAGCTACTGTGCAGATGTTCTAACAGTTGTGCACATTGGGTAATTCTGGGCCCAGATATGGTGTTCTTTGAACATTAAGATTCTATTGTGTTCTTTTGCCTGGAATGAGGAAGATTTTTGGACCATCTGCTCACTCTAGTTCATCTGGAACAATGGCAGTTTGCCCAAGGCTAAGGTGAAAGCCTTTGACCTTGGTGTGGGGGGATTCACTGACCAAGATTTTGACCACAGGTTCAAATCCAGTTTGATCTGGTTCAAACTTATGGCCTTGGCCTACTGGAGGGATTTGCTGATCTATTAACCGTCCAACTCAATTCAAGGATTATTTACTCTGGCAAGTCCTGTTCTGTCTCAACCTCCAAAACTGAGATAACCAGATACTGTATTGCCAGAGTCCCTATTCATATGTTGATCACAGCATTTATTTCCCTTTATCTTAACTTGTTTCTTTATTACCAGTTCCCTCAGGGCAGGGACCACATCTTGCTTATTTTTGCTTTGTTAATTTCTATCCTTGCGCCATATACATGGTGTTCAAGAAGTGCTTTGTCTTTCTAAGTTGTCAGCCTCTGAGTAAAACACCCTTTTCCCCCCCTGTAATTTAACTTGCATAACAACTACATCTGAAGTATGGGGTTGGGTCTCCCCACTTTAGCCTGTCTAAAGATTTGGTGAAGTTTAATCTCAGACAAAAATAATTTTAAATGCGTATTTCATGCTTGAATATAACATTTAAAATACGCAAGATGTCTAGTTTTTCTCTTCATATTGGCTCAGAGAAAAGCATATTGTAAGGCATGGGTCTAGGCATTTAAAAAATTATTTGAAGACTAGGTGATTTGATGATATATTTTTGTCATTCAGATTTCGCTGGATAAAATTTATGTGTAAGCATCTCCTCTTTTAAGACAGCTGTGGTGTGTAGGATATGTATGACCCTTTGAAGCAGACTACTTGTGTTATCATCCTGGCCTTGTCACCCAGTAGATTTGTCACACAGGGTGTCACAGTCTCTCAACTAAGACTGAATCTGGTCCCTCTGACGCAAGCTGGTCAAGATGAGTTGTACTTTTCAGAATCCGTTTAACGCGAGCTTCAATATCTGAAAATGAGGATTTATATTATTTTGTTGTGAGTGTTAAAATGAGTAAAATATTGAATGTGCTTTGAAAACCTTACTTTACCCTACTTTCGAAAGCTCAGACAGAGGTTTCTTGGGGTCATCTGCATCAGACAATGCTCCGTGTATTATTCATTCTATAGTTGGGCTTTGAGACAGAAGGGAATTAACTAAACAACATGTTCAAAATCTGTAGCAATGATAGGCCCAGCAATAGGCTTGTGTAAAGTCTGACTCCCGGTGGTCCTGCTAGACGTTTTTGTGTCTGCCAGAGAAGGCTCCTCATTCAGGCTCTGCCTATGAGCTAGGAGCTTCCCGCTTCAAGGACTTGGTAAAGGTGTCTGTCTCTCCCACTTCTTCATATCAAGGGTATGTAATATGGTTCACTCATTATATTCCTAGAACTTAGATGTCTCATTGGCCACTGTACATTTGAAATCCCATCCTGCCCATTAAGTAGCTCTGTTACTAATTTCTGAAAAAGGCAACATTTTCCTTGCTCAGCTAGAGACAAATGGATAGAGAGAACCCAGTCCCATCCATCCATCTGTCTGTCTATCCATCCAACATGTTTTGAGTGTTTACCTTGTGGAAAATTCTGTATTCATGGGGTGGGTCTTATTTTTATTTCATATTTAACTTATTTCTTATGCATGAGATGTTTGATCTTGGTTTCTTTTCTTTCAGGACCAAAGCTTAACAGCTTATCCTAAATTTATGACCTTGCTGCTACATAGAAATAGAGTATTTTGCAGCAACTTATACAGAATATCAAATTGGAACAAAGTTTGAATCTTTTCCTGCAACAACTCTATGAGGAGTTTCTTTATTGGGAAAAATCTGGCTATAATTAAATTCGTTTTAGTCCACGATTTTATTGAAGTAAGACTAGAGTTTCTGGCCCAAATGAGAGGGGTTCTATAGCTAAACAACGTGAAATAAGAGGTCGATGGCAAACTCCTTATGTATCCTGAAACTCTGTTTGATGTTGACTCAGATTTAAGATCAAGAGCATCCAGGCTAGTCAACTGAAGTACTTGGGCATTTTAATATCTTTCCATAACCCTTCATTCTCTTCTCCATCCCGCAAGTATCTTTCTTGCCTGAATTATCCATATAATTGAATATATATGTATACATACACATGTATATGTATAGTGATGCACCGCATAATGACGTTTCGGTCAATGATGGACCACATATATGATGGTGGTCCCATAAGATTAGTACCATATGGCCTAGATGTGTAAGAGGCTGTACTATCTAGGCTTGTGTAAATACACCCTATGATGTTCATACAGTGACAAAATCACATAATGACACATTTCTCAGAACATATCCCCGTCGTTAAGAAACATATGACTGTACATATGTACACATATATATATTCTCTTGGGGGAGGTTGTTCTTGGAGAGGGGGACACGCAACCCTCCATTTTGCTTTGCATTATCATACTTGCCCCGTGGTATGTAAGGATCCCTACTGTCCTTGTTATAACATGACACTTGACCAAACATAGATATTCACGTGTCCTTATTTTATGGCACAGATGCCTGTGCACTGCTTTAGCCCTTAAAACCCATAACCACTGGATTTTTGGTTCCTGGAGAACTACAATCTATGCACATGTTCTGTGATTTTACATATAAGTAAAAATTATACTAAAGGTGAATAACATTAAATTAGACCACTGTCCCATTCATCTTAACACGTTTCTATTTGCATGAGAGACATATGCTGTCTTCATTTAGGGTCAAATACCATTTCTAAACACTTTATATATATGGCCTACTCAGGGAAATGGACTTGCAGGCTTATTTTATTTTATGAATGGTCGTTCAGAGATTTTCCATTGGATTCCAGCCCATGCAGCTTCCCCCACATGCCACTGGAAGCAGTTCATTGTGCACACACACCCACCCGCCCACAGGCACGCTCTCTTTTATTTCCTCTGACACCTACAAATAGAACGGCAGGGGACTTCAAACACACAGAAAAGCAGCTTGACCTGCCGGCTGAGTGCCTGTTGTTGGGTATTTCAGTTCTGAGCTGGGTGGCTCCCACCCTGCAAGCTGATCAGTTTCTCCCTTCTGAAGTGGCAGGACTGACTCAGCACATCACCAAGCACTGGAGATGGAAACCGGCCCCTCCATGCACTCATCAAGGTGGGCGTGCTTTGGGGGCCTGCTTCCCTGAGGAACTGTCTGGCCCTGGGCGGGCACTTCAGCCCAGTATTGGCCTAGCAGGGCCGGAAGTTCCTCTTTGAAGGGTTGAGAGAACAAAGAGAGGGAGGGTAAGGGAGGGAGGGAGAGAGAGAGAGAAGGGAAGGCATTGCAAACAGGCAACAGGAAGGCCACCTGACTTAACCGAGCCAGAAGGGATACTTACTGCTGACTAACTGGCCCACGCTCAAAGCTGAAGAAGAGGAGGATGAGGAGGAAGAAGAGGAAGCCTGGCGGACGGGACTTTGAGACATGGATGCTTGGCTGTGAGCCAGGTGCAGGAGGCTGCTTTGGGAGGTTGCTTGACCCACTGACGTCTGGGAGGGTTGGTGGAGCTACATGGGGGGGGATGTAAAAAATACACAAATGAATGCAAAATGCGGGGGGAAAGGCCAGGGAACAGAAGTTTCATCTGGGGTTGAATCATTTTATTTCTAAGAATATACACTTCTGAGGAAGAGTGCACACGCTACCCACCAGGCAGGACTTTTTGGTAATATAATATGTTGCTGCTTGCTTGACAGGTATTTGATTAGTACCTTTAAATATAGTATTAATTCCCTACTTGGCTTCCCGGAGCACCCAATTTCCTATATTTCTCGACCACGGCCTGTGGCTGGACTCTTTCTTCCTGTTCATATAATTACAGCACACTTGACAGGCTTCTCAAGTATCTACAGATAAAATATAAAGCTTACAATCAACTCGGAATGCAAAACTAAGTCTTAAAGGTGTAGCTGTGCCCAACCTCTTTGGCTTATGGAACTAGTATTTTTAGGGAAGTTCCAATTTAGTCTGAGAGTATATGGAAACTTTCTGCTCTCTCGGATCAAAGATTCTGGTGGATTACTGTGCAGTTCGGAAAAACGCTCTCTGATATCCTATAGAAAACTGAAAGAGAAGTTGGGGCAGTCAGGAAAAAAGTATCCAGCAGGATTTGCAGCTCTCAGTTGTCACTTTCTTCCTCTGTGTTAAGGACTTTCATGCCTTTCCTCCTTTAATTCTCATGTCAGCCTGGGGAGTGGGCTGACCCCTCTTTTGCAAACAAGGAAGCCAAGGCACAGAGGGTTAAAGGATTTTGCTGGTTCATCTGGTAGGTGTGGAGGAGCTGGTCTCCGGCCATATGAGGTCTAACCCTACAGTGCTAGCTTGTAGTCACAAGGCCACAGGTAAGAATTAACTTAAATTTTAAAATTTAGTGTAGCATTATGTCCATTTATTCATGAGTCCTTTCCAGGTTATCGGAGGATTGTTGTTCTGAGAGGTGAGAGGCGCTCAGCTGAGATGAGGAAGAGAGGGGAAAGCGAATGATTGCAGGGGCCAGGTCCACTCGGAGGCCGTGGGAGGGGTCTCTCTCGATGGGTGGGTTGCCCCCCAGAAAGCTGACACAAAGGGCAGCCCCAGACCCTGAACAGGTGCACAATTAGCCTCAGCCATGGCCACCTTTGTTGACTGGATATAGCACTTTCTGGTTGACAAAGTGCTGCCATAGCCCTGTGCACAGAAGTGTAGCAAAGTTTTTATAAGAGGAAGTCAGCCTGGGAGCAGAATCACGTCAGGCCCTGAACTTCGGTGGGACAGCCAACGACCAAACAGGCACCAATCTTTGACCACCTTCTCAGTGTCTGAGAGTCGGCCAGGGATGTTTCAACTTCACATTTGTCACTGCTTCCCCAATGTGTGTGTGTGTGCGCGCGTGTGTGCATGCGTGTGTATTCATTTTTTCATTCAACTTTATTGAGACATAATTTGCACATAGTAAAATAGACCCATTTCAAGCAAACAATTTGATGAGTTTTGTCAGATGAATACATCTGTGAAATCACCATCATAATCAAGACATAGAACCTTCTCATCATTCCATGAAGTTCCCTAATCCCCTTTGCAATCAATCTTCCCCCAGTGTGTGGCCCCAGACAACCACTGCTCCGCTTTTTGTCACAATGGACTTGTTTGGCATGATTCTAGAAACATACAGTATGTACTCTTTTTTCACCTGGCTTTTTTTGGCTGGGATACTGTTTTTGAGATTCATCCATTTTATTGCGTGTATCAGTAGCTCATTCTTTTTTATTGCTGAATAGTATATATGGTATATTTCTATAGTGAATATATCTATATTTATGAACAGATTGTTTATCCATTCATCTATTAATGCACATTTGGGTTATTTCCAGTTTGGGGTTATTATGAATAAAGCATTTAAAACATTTATGTATAAGTCTTTGTGTATACCTGTGTTTTCCTTTCTTTTACGTAAATACCTGGGAGTGAAATTGTAGAGTTACTGGATTATACTCTAAATAGATGTTTAACTTTTTTTTTTTTTTTGGTGAGGAAGATTGGCCTGGAGCTAACATCTGTTGCCAATCTTCCTCTTTTTACTTCAGGAAGATTGTCACTGAGCTAAAATCTGTGCCAATCTTTCTCTGCTTTGTATGTGGGACACTGCCACAGTATGGCTTGATGAGCGATGTGTAGGTCCGTGCCGAGGATCCAAACCTGTGAACTCCAGGTCGCCGAAGCAGAGTATGAGAACTTAACCACTACACCACCAGGCTGGCCTCTAACTTTTTAAGAAACTACGAAACTGATTTCCAAAGTGGTTGTAGCATGTATGAGAATTCCAGCTGTTCCATACCCTTACCAACACTTAGGGTTGTCAGTCTTTTTAATTCCCTAAAGTGTTTTTAACCGTTAATTGACATTTTACCTTCAAACAATTGTTAGTAAGCTGCTACTTTGGAAATGTGCATAAGGAGCTATTTCCTTTATTGGACACTCTTGGCAATGCGTTTTCTCCCTGAATTCACATGATGCCTCTAGGCAGCAGATGTGCCTAGCATAATTATGAGAAGTAAATGATGGGCCTAAGACCACGTGGCCTGTGGAACCTTAGAATCCAGGCTCTCCCTCTGCAGTTCAGGGCTCTTCCCAGGATGCCATGCCGTCCCCCTTCAGAACTGCTTGCAGCTAAGTTCCAAGTGAACATCCTTATTGGTACTCAGCTGTGCTAAGTGGAGACTAGACTGTGAACCCAAGATAGATAGAACCAACATGGAGCTCAAATTAATATGCATCAAGCATATGCCTACAGTAATTAGCCAATCTGCTGTGCACATAATCAACAGTTAAATCCAGTAAATTTTATTCTGTAGGGACACATATCAAAGATTAAATCCATTTTTAATTTGCTTAATAAAATGTGATGGATATTTGCATGTCAGTCTGCCCCCTGGAACTTACTGAGTTGTCCTTCTAATTATTGTTACTTGACACAAGCTTTTCACAGTTTTGAGTTACAGGGTCATGAGTTAGTCTTCAGTTTTACCATTCCGTCAATATTTTATTGGCCCTAGGTGTGGTAAAGTACCATCAAGGAACTGGGTGAGACAATAATCCATTTAAATTTTTCTTCTTCAGACAACTCGGCAAAGAAAAAGCTTACTAGGCTGCAGCCTCACTTAGGAGTCACTAAGCAAGCGAGGGCTTATGCATTAACTCTGCAGGAGAAGAAATTCAAGAGGAAAATAAAATGGTTCTTTTAAGAGCTTGTTCTGTGTCCACACGATCAAAGGGAGAGATGAAACTAAGCTATCTAAGAATCTAAGAAAGATACATTTCTTCCAAAGTAAATAAGCATTTTTTTTTTTTAAGGACATCAGGGTCCTGCTTACCCTCTAAAGTTCAACGAGACAGATCAGAAAAACCAATAAAAATCCTGAAAGGCTCTAACTTGTTAAGAATCAAGATGATATAAGCAGTAACATCTTAATAGAGCCCGTATATCTCATTCCAATTGCCAGTGTAGACATGTATCTGTTGATTCCAGAATCACTTGTAAGCCCAGATAGACTAGCTTATTGCTCATGTCAAAATCATCCCAGAGATTGGCCTCTCTTTTGTAACTCATTCCCACAGAAAAAGAGGACATTAGAGGTACCATTTCTGTTGGCTCCCAGCCCTAAAACTGCAATTCTTTCAGGTAAACTGTAAGAATAGTTGTATCTTTGAGTTTCTTAGTTTAATGATTTTGGTGCATTAATCTTTAGAAATTTTATGCCTAAATATATATATATATATATATGAAAATATGAAAAGGGCTTTAAGCTACTTCATGAAACATTACATTAGAGTGGGCACTAATCTGGTATGACTGGTGTCTTTAAAAGAAGAGGAGATTAGGACCTGGATAAGAACAGAGGAAAGACCGAGTGAACACGCAAGTAGAAGACGGGCGTCTGCAAGCCGAAGAGAGAGGCCTCAGAAGAAAGCAATCCTGCCGACACATTGATCTCAGATTTCTAGCCTCCAGAACTGTACAACAATAAATTTCGGTTCTTTAAACCACCTGGTCTGTGGTGCTTTGTTATGGCAGCCCCAGTAGATTAATACAGGCTGAGGGCATGGAGAGTCAAGAAAAAAGGAGAGAGAGAAGGGGCCACCAATGTGAGCCTGCAGCCTCACATTATCCAGAGAAGGAGGGAACCATATCCATCCCATACAGGGAATGAGAAACAGGGACAAACAGGACTCAGAGACTGAAAACACTTCTTGCTGCCTCTCCTAGGCTGACTTCATTGGGTTGTTTGCGTTGGTTGGCACTACCAGGGGTGTTCACTATATTCAACAAAAATAGGTTCAAGTACGAGCACACTTTAAAGACTTGCTCGATTTCCTGTGCCACCGCTCCCCATTTATCTTCCATGGGTAACACAGTTTATCCTTAATAATGTCTTAGTTTCTGGAATAAAACATCTTCTAGTTAAATTCTTGATTGATATAAAAAATAAGTGAGGGTGGCAAGTGTCTTGGAAAATGGAATAACATGCGGAACATACTAGACAAGTTGGAAAAGTGAATGCATATAAACAGTAAAATTCAAATGGGATTAAATTTAGAGAAATTCATTTGGGGAGGAAAAAACTCTCCAAATATGCAAAGACAAAATGGAGGAGATCTGGCCTTTTGCAAATATGTCAGGGAGCCATGATGAACCACGGGCTAGACAGTGCACCATGTGGTGCAATGGAGAATGCGAATATGACAGAGAGGTCTAGCAGAAACAAGAGCACGCAGGATGTCGTGCTCTCCCTCCCTCGCTCCCAGTACTGGCTGGCATTTTTCTGTTTACCGTGTACCTTATAATGCCTTGAAGAGAAATGAAATCAGTGGTTCTCAAGATTTAGTGTTTGGCAGAATCACTTGGAGGGGCTGTTAAAACACAGATTCCTGGGCCCCACCCCGAGAGTTTCTGATGCAGTAGGTCTGGGGTAGTCTCAAGAAGTGCATTTCTAACAAGTTTCCAGGTGATGTTGATGCTGCTGGCTGGGGG